GTATGGTTTTAATAGAACGTCACTGTCATAAGCTATTAGTAAACGTTCACTTACTATCGAAAAAACACTTCGTTTTACCAAACTCCGGTTGGATCAATTTGGGAACGAAATCCATGATGACACCAATAACGGTGAGAATGGAAGCGCTTCCCCACGCGTAAATCGAATACATAACGAATTTTTTTCTCTCTCGTGCTTCACGCATCTCTTGCTTCACGCTTCCTTGTAACGAACGGAATTCTCTGCAAAATGTGATTTACATGCCACATTGTTGCCAGCAACAAGTAGAACAGGTCAGCATGCAAATACAAATCAAAATAATTATCGCTTTTGGTCGCGCTTCTCGGAAATATGACCGATGCGTTGAATTTTGTTTAATACGTTTTATGTAAGCGGTGTGCGACTATGATACGTAATATTTGTGATACGTAATAATTGATAATTGAAAATTATTACTATTTCGAATTTAATTTCCTACATTTATTTAAGAAACGTATACAGAAAATTATTTAGAAACGTTTAAAGACTGACATGTGTGAAATATTAGATTGTTCTTGTAACTTACAAAAATGTTTTTCAACTCTATCAATCTTAATTAAATGGGTAGCTCTTCGGTAACGCAATTAAGTTTAAATGCTACAAATTTTGTATAAAAATAGAAAATGTAATCTCTTCAAAGATTTTTATATATAATAATTATAATTAATCGGGCCCGAGCCGCTCGACACTTTTGTAATTGATTACAAGAGATGGACGATGTGCGTACACAGCAGTCGTCACACCCTTGTAGTAGGGTGAAACGGGCTTGTCGACAGCGGGGTCAGTTCATCTCCTTTGCGGGAACAGTAAATATAGCGACACGACAATATCGCGTCATGAAATTTCATTGACGCGCGAGAGATAATAAATTACTTTATAGCATTCCACACGCGCATAATGAGAAAGAACAAAAGAACAAAACGCATCGCGTGTCGCAGGTCGCAAGCATGACCAGAAAAACGTACGATTTATATTGATAACGTTAAACGACTGTTAAATTGATCATCGCGACACGAATGATGATTTATATACTTGTATCGCAATCGTTTCTTAATGTCATTTTAGAAAATACGTTGAGACGGCTCCGTTAATGTAAACGAATCTTGGATTGATGACGTCAGAAGTGAGGAAATCATGAAAATATATCATGGAAATTCTTGCGATTTACACTAAAATAAAAATGCTTTTTAATAAAATACCATCTGTAAACGATAAAATAGATTTGTAAAATACACCGAAAATTCTCCTTTTACATGAGTAATCCACATTTGTCGAAGTGAATGTTGCCTAATCAAGAACGAAAAAAGCCGTTTGACAGCTGCCGAATTGAAATAATAAGTATTTGCTTGCACATATTAAATCACAATAAAGTGGATATCTTCGGTATATTTTAACACTATCACAATAATTTTAAATGTAAAAACACTGCACTAAAATGAAGAATAACGCTGTAAATCGCAAGGATAATTTTGCTTCTTGACGTGTCATTTTTCACGTCTTATAGTTTAAAGTTTTGCCAAGACGCCAGGGTCGCCACTGTCAACGCGGAGTTGGCTCGCGAGCCAGCAGGAGCCTAAATAAGTTATAATAAGTCATAAATGAGCGTGTTCGACGTATTCACGCAGCGTGCGATCAAAATTAACTTGGCTGTGTTTGCACCACATACGCGCACCGGTCACGTACCGGATATTTTAATTCGCGTCCTGTCGCTATCTTCCCCTATTGTTTGTCAATTATCAAATTTCTTTACTACACACGCCGGATCAAGTGGCGCTTGTGAAAATATTTGGCGAATCAATTAACTCATTTTGACCAAGAACTCGATCCAAAAACGTTTCATCTTTGATAAACCGTAAATAATAATGCTCGATCATAATTATAAATATATATAAAATATAAATAGTAATTATATATAAATATAAATAAAAGTAATTTATATATAAATTATATATAAAAGTGGGATGGTTTTTTTTTAAGAATGATTATCTTCGAGATTCAGGTCTAAATCTTTTGCTCCATTTTGTTCAAGAAATATTACAAGATATCTTCAAAATCCAGCTCAATGTTCATTTCTACCAACGCGGATTAACTTTAATCTCGGTTTAACTTAATTTTTATCTTTTTCTAATTGTTACAACAAGAAATATCACAAGATTGTCTTTAAAAGGTAATTTTATTGCAGATAAAATGTATGGAATATTTTGACAGCTTACCCGAATGCCCACCAAATGTCAAAGCACATCACGTTTAACCAGAAGAAGCTTGCCATAACCCAGAACCAAACGATGTAGAATGCTGAAACAGAATGAACACTATTAATCACGCATTATGGTGCCGATAATAAAGCTTATGTTCGCCCGTGAAGAAACAAATTTACTGTCTTTCTGCATCAGGAATTTGTTTAGTCGAAAACGGTAAACCTTGACGATAATATACACTACATTGAATTAAACTATTAAACATTGCGATTTAAATATTGTGTCAGAATCACGTAAAATCTTCCGCAAGAAGAAAAGGAAAAAGATACTTATCCAAATAAAGTTCCAAGTTGAATGCATATCAAAATTTAAATTTTACCCGCTTTATATTTCATTGTTTTTTCCCCAAGGTTTTATTAAATTTTTACATTCAAATTATCGGGGGGAGAGAGAAATCATGCTATTATATATGCTGTATTATATGTGTTCACTGTATTATTATATGCTGTACCCATTATTTTGCAGGAGGCGCCGGAGGCGGTTTCCCATATTGGTGTATCTGGTGTCAGTATTGTGTCGAACGCTTTCGCGATGAACAACGAGCCGACGTATCCACGCAGAGTGTAGCCGTGCATGTTCTGAAGCTCCGGTAGTGTGGAATACACCACGAATGTCGCCAGTAGAAACAGCATAGATATTATCTCACCCACATTATATATTTCCTGGAGGGCCGATTTTAGGGAATTAATGCAAACAGCTGTCTCGTACTTATCCCGTTGCGAGACGATGAGGCAGTATAAATTGGCATCGACAAAGTCTTTGATACGCGGTAGATACAGAGAGCCATTGAGGAGAAACATAAACGCGTCATCTGGTTCCTCGTCAGGTTTAAGCAAATAGTATCCGACTTTTTGGCACGGATCGTGGACGGTCAGCTGAAAGATTTGGTCCACCTTGCCGATCGGTCCTCTCTCAAGCGACTCGTTCGTCGCCTGCTTGTACACACCCGGAAAGGGATAACGCCCAACGTTCTCAGCAACGCATTGATCCTTGATCGTGCGAACGCCGAGGGGGCAGCAGAGCGGAATGCAGGTACTGTTCTCGCACATCTCGTACGGAACGACGTTGGTCTTATTATCATCTTTATAGAACTTTCCAAGAAGCTCGAACGTTAAGTTGCTTCTGTCTTCGATCACGTCTTGCATCAGGTTTCCACGGGGTTCATGTTTTAACGGCTCGGAGGAGGAAACGATGAATAGAAGCGTGCAATAGCAAAGCGCGAGATTTCGTCGACGCATCGTCGACCTGTTGACTGCTGTTGACACGTCGAAATTCACTAAGAACCGTCTTGGTTTTCGCTCTTCGTGCTTTAGTCAGATGTCCAGCGACTGCAACGATATCGCAAACTACGGAAATGAGAAAAATACGCGTGACGATAACGAAAACTACAGAAACGAAAAGGATTGGGAACGGGCACGATGACCCCACTGGCCAATATGGCGGCCGTAAGCCGGCTCATATACACGCGAAACAGTAGGCTTGTTCGTTTCCGTTGCACTTCTCAACTAATGCAATAAGTTGGAATGAAAGAAAATCTATTTGTTTCATTCTAACTTATTGCATTATGTTGCACTAGTTCAGAAGTGCAGCGAAAACGAACAGACCTAGTGTGTTTGTGAGCACATGTATGTTCCACGTGTTATTACACGTGTATATGACCACGTGTTCCGGCCTATGGCATGGCCGCCATATTGGCCGTGTGCCCGTTCCCAATACGCGTGATGATATCGCTGGCCGCGACAGCGACGGTTTTGTCCGAAGGACGAACGTATTTCGCCAGGAAGAAAATAACGATGAAAGAGAAGGTACCTCGTTAAAGCAGGTCCTCTTTTCGGCCGGGGATGTGGTGAACAGGACAACAGGGGCGGACTCTCTTTAGAGATGAATTTTTGTAGTTTGCTTTCCAGAGCGTATGGTTTGGAAAACCATGTGAACGCTGGTTTGCATTTATTTGTTTATAAAGGTGAAATTTCATGGGCAGTGAAAAGTAGCAGCAGATCGTACTGATTGGCTACAAAATAGAGAAGTTCTAGAAACTCGAGAACTTCTCTATTTTATAGCCAATCAGTACGATCTGCTGCTGCTTTTCACTGCCCATGAAATTTCACCTTAAGGGCTTTTAGTCCTTTCTCAGGTCTTAAGACGCACGAACTTCCGGTTCGCCTCGCAGCAACCGAGGTGAGTCATCACGATTGGTGGTTGAGGAAACTTTAGGCCAGTATTCATAGTCTTCAAGATCGTCTCAAGATAATGGGTGCGTTCGGTTTGGACCATAGAGATATAGGCCTAGTTTACACCGATCTCTTGATACGCGTATCAAATAGTATATTTGAACTGATCAGCCAATAATCAGACTTATTTACTAGTTATTTACTATTTAATACGCGTATCAAGTGATCGGTGTAAACTAGGCCATAAGAATAGAGTGCGCGAGCGAGCTGAAAAAACGATATAGGAATAGAAAGAGAAAGCTGCGCATGGGCCCCTTCTGTCTTTGTTTCGCATGCACGCGTAGACAAAGACAGAAAGGGCCTATATGTGCGTTCTTTTTCTATTCCTATATCGCAGCCTCTTACGTGCTAGCATATGACTCGCGCACTCTATTCTTATATCTCTATGGTTTGGACGCTCACGCGCTGTAAGGCTGAGTTTCCACTGAGCGCGTCACGCGTCGCGTCATCCAATCAAAACATCCCATTTCGAGCCCGTCACAAGAATGTAATGAAATGGAATGTTTTGATTGGTTAACTTGTGACGACGCGACGCGTGACGCGCTCAGTGGAAACTCAGCCTAAGCGCTCACGCTTATAAGCGCTGTTTTCAATCGTTCGATTTGGTATCTGAGCGCTATTCGTATGTATTTGACCGGAAATGAATGTCCGGGAAAGAATCTACCATATGAAATCGTTTGTATTTCGTATGAAGACTTTTGAAGTGCAATTGAAAAGGTTTGTGAGTCATTGTAATTAATTATTTTTACACCATGCATTTAGCCGAAATAGATAAATTAATAAAAGTTTTTATACGGAATCGTTTGTATTTTGTATGAAGAGTTATGAAGTGTGATTAAAAAGGTTTGTGAGTCACCCAGATAATTATAATTAAATATTTATAAACTCGGTAATTAGCCGAAATATAGATTATTAGTTATTCATGTTAAAAGAAGGCGCTAGTGTTCCCGTAGGTCCGTCTGCAATCAGAATTAATATAAACGTTTTAAAAATTATTTTATACTGATATAAATAACTATACAGGCTAATAAGCCTGTAGCTATAAGCGATAGTTGCTAATTAAGTTTGTAAAGATGTACCAGCTGTGCAGGGTGAAGAGCAGGTTATCTCAAACGCCCTGCCACAACCCAATTAAAAGAGACTCAAATATCATTACCGCTGAGAAGTACTTTTTGCCATTTAAGTTAGCATGTCAAAGCAACCGGATTGTCCATTGCGTTCCACCTTGAATTTTTTTTACAGACGTGTTTATTAGGATTGCCCTACTTTTAAATTGAGCGCTTTTAAATGTATTATTATTCACGGAGTCATACGACCAATGGCGTGAGAGAGTGTTTCGTACAAGCTCGCGCAGGAGCCTAGGCTTTAGATTTAATGAGTAGATGAAACGACACATACACTTTACTTTTTCGAGGGAGAGATCATATATTTTACTTGGCAGAAATAATTACAGAATACCAACATTTGTTGCATGGATAAGGAAAACTGCCAAAAACCTTATCAGTATTCGTACAACACATAAGAAATGATGATACAAAGAAATAAATTGCTAGGAATATAATACACAATATTTCTCAGACGAATGATCCTTTTGTCAATTTGCATAAACTAATAAGCTTCCCAATATTCAGATCATACAATAACTTTTGAATGTTGATTTCTCTAAAGAAGTAATATTCTCTTAATCTTTCTCAGGACTGTATGTAACTTCAACTATTGTTTGTAAGACTATAACTTACATCGTAATAAATTCGTGTAATTAGACCATTCGTATGAAACAGATAATACATGAAATGAAGTAAATTGTTGCACAAGATAAATAAGCATAAATACATAGCAATAAAGAATATGTGATGGATAGATTGATACGTCGTATTAACTTTCGTAATGTAATTTCCTTCTAGTTCGAATGACCAATATCTTTGAAAGTAGCTCATAAAATCAGAAGATAATAGAGAATGTATAATAAGTTATACACCATATTATATGTCACTGTTTTGTATATATCCCATTATCTAAGGAAAGACGTATCAATCTATAATTACTTCTTATCGGTAATCGTCGCTACCTTGCATCGGTCGAAATGAATACATTATAATATACGTAAACGTGTGAAGGAATATAATTATATACTCGAAACAATCTATGACGCAAAGAATCGAACTACTTGTAACACAAGTGAGGAATAAAGTAAAGTAAGTAATTTTATATAAACAGAAAGTGTTTCTCGGTTGAAATGATAATAATTCTTTATGATATCGAATTAATCAGAGTTTTAATCAAAGAGAAATAATCATATATGTATAGGTTGCAACCATAAACAAATCAATCTAATTATTTTACTGAGCTCAGATTCGAATCGTTCTTATCGTTACATGTGATGTCAGACTTATCATTTGATAATCTGCATCGTTCTCTGAGGACATTAGCCTCCCGTAATATATATCAAGAAATCTGGAACCACGATCGAAATAAGGAGAGGGGAACATTATTCCACCCTAGCACTCGGTTATACGAGAGCTTCTCTAAACCAGATAAGGATCTGTGGTTGCCGGAAATCTGAATGTTACCTCTTTACTGTAGAAATCTCTGCTTACTGAATAGATTCTTAATATAAGAATCCCCTTTTTCTACTTCTGATAGGCCATCAAACATCTCAAGTCGTTCAACAGCGGTTATTCCTTTGTGAGATACGACGATACAGTAATGGCGGATCGTCCTTCCTTCTTTGTACGCAGTTATAAAAGCGTGGTCGATCGCTGAGTCGGTATAATCTCGTAGCTGATGCTTCGTAAAGTCTATTTTCTCGTTGAACAGAGCTGCTATCCATGTAGCAGATATCAGAAATCATGTCGTCTATACTATAATCGGTATTTGCCAATGCTACGATTCTCGCTTCTCGAATATTCTAACACCGGTACGTCTCAAGCACGAGCACGTTGTTACCTCGACCAACGCCCGGAAACGAATGCCCGCTCGGTTCGTCGCAGGCTCGCACGCTTATTCCTCCTCGCGCACGCGCAACACAATTCCTTTCTCAAATTACGACGCGTCCAGCGCAGAACGCGCGGGAACACAACTGACGACGCTCGTATCGCCATCTAACATGACTCGATCTGACTAAGTTAATACGAACACAGTCTCTCTATATTTCCGATATATGATCTCTCCTCCTATTTTTCTTACATTTTAAACATTCCGCCCGCCTTCGTTAACGTAGTTAACGAATTAACTATTTACAGAGTTTCATTATTGATCGGAAGAAAAAAAAGCTTTGTGATGGGTCTTTGAAATTCCGAAACGTGAGTTTTAACAGTCACGACTCTAGTGTGATCATCCTTAACAAGAAGCTTAGCTAAATCTCCTGATTCCTCTAAACTGGACGAAAAAAGCTTACAAAGCTCCGTATCAGCGCCTTTTAAATTTGTGACGCAATCGCTCGAGAGAGTTGAACAAATTCCCCTACGAAATGTGAAACGCTTATATGCTGCTATAAAAGCCTCCGTTGTATAGTCTGATACCAATTCCAAATGTATCGCTGAAGTGGAATAGCAAACAAAGATAGCTATATATGCCTTATATGTTTTAGCCTTCTTTCTTCTCCAAGTTTTTTATTGTGAAAGGACCGGCATAGTCAATTAAACCCCTTAATGTTTGAAAGCTCGTGAAGGTGTTATTCGTGCGGCTGGTAACTGACCCATTATTTGTCCTACTCTTTCCTTTCGAAACTTAGTACAAACGACGCATTTTAGAATGTGATTTCTGCCCAGTGCTCTGAATGTCAACGTGAAGAAATTCAAGCAAGCGCGGGTAAACGGTGCACCCTGTGCCCTTTACCCATAAAACTGCTGGGCTGCTGCCCAATCCCAGGTAGCTGGGTAACGGATGCAGCCGGTAGTACTGAACAGGGTAGCGTTTCGCGAGGCGAGCGCGGCGTGCTCGTGCGTGGGAGGTGCCCAATACGAGCGGGGTATATGGCGCACCACGTGCCGTATATTCCTAAGGCGCGTCGACTGCTGCCGAATCCCGGATCCCCGGGCAACCGATGAGCGACGCGTTAACAGTACGGGGTGACTCGTGCGATTACGTGGTAGCTGGTGGCATGGCACCAGCGGCGGCAACTCGTCAAACGTGAGCTAAGATCGCTCGACACGAGTACTACGGGGGTAGGGAGCCCCACCGGGAGGCTACCAGATGGTGTCGGACTCGTAGGGGCAGAGGTTTCGCATAGCCGAGTGAGCGGCATAGAGGGCCTAGTGTGGGTTAGCGCTATGAAGCTCATGTTGCGCATTACCTGTTAGTGGGGTGCCTTGGCACCCCGGTCCTGTCAGTGGAGCTGATCTAATCCGAGTAGGTCATGCTCGCTGCAGGAGTAACCCTGCTACCTGGGGAACACCACAGGTACAATAGTGAGTCATATGTGCGTTACGGAAAACCGTACCCCTACGTTTGAAGGGTCGGCTTGTCCGGGAGTACGTAATCGTCAGGTATGGGCTCTGTAAGGGGGAAATCCCCGGTGTCGGCTCCGATTCTAGCGCGAAGGGAAGTACTGCTGACGTTGATTGCACTCCGACCACGGGAGGATTCTGGGGGGGCTAACCGCCCCCCCAGACCCCCCGGTGCGGTCGTAACTATGACTCTCTTAACAGTAGCCAAATGCCTCGTCATCTAATTAGTGACGCGCATGAATG